GCGGAATGCGTATCTACCATATATATATATTTCCTTATTTATTATTCAAAATTAAGCGCTTTCTCACACTTTATTATTCACATCCTGTCTTTTTATTCTATGTTTGGAATGCAAGAACTAACATTTTAAGTCTTTCCCTTTAATAAGTGTGAGAACTATATTATTCCCTCGACCGATTTAATGGACCAATTGTAATTACTAAGTTTTCCCTTTTTTCCATAGGACGTAGCGTATCATAGGAACAAACTTGTGCCATTTTCCCTTAGAAAAAAACTCAAGCACACTGTTTTCGGGCTGCGATTTGAAGTTCTGCCAATTCTCAAAAATGTCTTAATGAAGATTGTTATGATCCATAATTTTTTTTTTTTTGCTTGCCACTTTGCCAAGCAGGCAGTATTCCTGCGATAATTCTAAAATGTGGGGGGGGGGAGTAAAAAAGCATGATAGCTTCCAAATACGATTGATTCTAGATAGTATGCGATTTCACCCCCCTCCAGAAAGTAAAAATGAAGATGACTAAAGTATAGAACTTAATTTTAAATAAACATTGCTACTATAATAAGTTTAAAAATGTTAAAACATTGTAATTTAGTATCTAGGTTAGTGTAAAATCATGCTTTATAGGCCCTGATTATTATTTATAATTAAAAATAATAATAAATAACATACTCTTTCATGATTTCTTCTAATTCTGGTCTGTGGACAAGACTTCGATAGAAATGAAGGAATTCATCGGGTTCGAGGGCATCTTCACCGTCTATTTTAACTTTGTTGAAATTAGCTGCCTGAAAAAATAAAAATACATTGTTACTAGATGCACATTGTCACTACGCTAAAGAACGCCATTTTTAATCTAATGATCGGATTTTCACCCAATCTTAATGGTTCAAGGAACTCATATATGCTAACTAAATAGTGCACACTATAATTTAAATTACGAGAGCCGCGATGGTTCAGTAGATTGAGCGTTCGCCTTACAATGAAGTGAACCGGGTTCGAATCCCAGCCATGGCTGGTCGATACGAATTTTGCCTCCGGCTTGCACCGACCACAGTGCTGACGTGAAATATCCTCAGTGGTAGACGGATCATGGGTTTTAGTCCCCTTGCCGCCAGGCTAACCGTGGGAGGTTCTCGTGGTCTTTCTCTCCATGTAAGGCAAATGCGGGTTAGTTCCCTTAAAAAAGTCCTCCACGAAGGCAAATTTCTCCCAATACTTGATCCAGAAGTTCCCTTGTCTTCTGGATTGGGTTCAGAATTACAAAGCTACTGAGTTGAACATTAGTAGTCGTAAACCCATAAAATTGGGTAGGCTGTTCAACAACTGTTATAAAAGGAAATAAAATTTAGATTACGGACGGAATCACACACAAAAACGTACTTTCTCTGAATGAACATGACCTTTTTTTACGACGATTCGGATTCTGTACCCCCAAATACTGAAGGGGGAGAGGGTAGCCGCAATCCAGGAAATCGGGTCCATATCTTTTTATCAGGAGAGCGGTCGAAAATTTCGACCACTTAATTGTTCATTAAGAGGTTATTTTATTTTATTTTATAACACACATTGAATAACCGATCCAATTTTATTGGTTTACGACTACTAATGTTCAACTTTGTAGTCGTGGAGAGCTTTTTGATGGAACTAAAACTAACCCGCATTTGCGTTACATGGAAAGGAAAACCACAAGAACCTCCCACGGTTAGCCTGACTCAATTGGCCTCTAACCCATGATTCGTCTACCACTGGGGATATATTTACGCCAGTACTGTGGTCGGTACAAGTGTGCGGGATTCATATTGAAAAGCCATCACTGGGATTCGATTCCAGTTAACCTAACAGTCGGTTAACCTAACGGCAAAGGAACTCTTACCCATAATCCTTCTACCACTGTGGATATTTCCCGTCATCACTGTGGTCGGTGCAAGCCTAATGCGGAATTCGTATCTACCAGCCAATGCTGGGATTTGAACCCGTTTCACCTCACAGAAAGGCGAATGCTCTATCCCCTGAGCCATCGCGGCTCAGCGTCTGCAGATTAAATAAATAAAATGCTGGTTTATGATGTAAGCGTAGTCGCTGAAAGTTTTTGGAAGGATTTTAATTTTTTGCAAAGAAGTGCCTTCAGGGGAAATTTGTCTGCAAAGAAACTCTGCAGAATTTCCTGAATAGAACGGATACTCTGCAGTACATTTGATGGAGTGATCAAATCTACATTTTTCAGTCTCCAACAGTGCTACCAAATGCTACATAAACACTGTGGATTGCATTAACTTACAAGGGAAACTAGGGAAGTGTGACTCTTCAATTTTGAAGTAGTGGGATGTATGCCTTATGAGGAATAATTTTGGGGGGCAACATTCGTTTCGGCCCATAGAAGGTCCTGTGAGAGATAAAAAATAAATCAATATATAGAAAAATCGGTATTTTATTACTTCAATGCAGACTATTAGTTTTTGTTATTATCTCATACTCCAATTAATTTTGTGGCACTTTCACATACTTTATAATGCATATTTATTGTCAAAATTATTTCGAAAATTTTATATATCTGTAGTTTTTCAGAAAAACCTGTTAGTTTAATTTAAAAAAAAAATTGACGTCAAATTTTTTTTAATTTTTTTCTTCAAAAAATTTTTTAAATTAATTGGAGTATGTAATTGCAAATAAATAAATTAATTAATAATTAATAATTGATTAATAATTAATAATTGATTAATAATTAATAATTGATTAATAATTAATTAATTAATAATTATTTAATTAATAATAATTGATTAATAATTATTTAACACTTAATTGATAATTAATTAATTTGCTAATTAATTTATTAGTTTGCTAACTAATTAATTAACCAATTAATTACAAATTTACTGGAGTATGAGACAATTACAATAACTAATAGTCTGTATTGAAGTAATAAAATATCGGGGGACAGACACAATTTCCTGACTCTGATTCATTTTCTCCTATTAGCCTATTTTTAATATTTCACTAAGATATATCGGCCTCATTCAAGTAATTACCCTAAAAAGATTCCATAAGTTGTTTTCCAAATAGCTACAATTCAGAAAGCAGAGCACAATACAGCTATACTGAATGCAGCTTACAAAATATAGATTGAATATATTCTGAATACAGCTTACAGAGAAACAGAGCTTTTACTTGCTACAAATACTACAGCTGCATTGATGGCCCCATTTCTCAGAATTTGAAGTTTTAAAATGGGCTGCCAGTTTGGTCATAATAAAGTTTCCTAAAGGAAATCGTCTTACCATAAAGATTACGGAAAAGTGAATCAAACTTTTTTTAGGACTGATATTTTTCATTGCATAGTTCAGTTTTAAGCGAACGAAAAAGTTTCTCACATTTATTTCCCTTTTATCTGCATTAACCCCTTCCTTCTCGCTCCCGTGAAAATGACGGGGTGAGGTTTCGCCCTCTATTTCTCACCCCCGTGAAATTTCCGGGCTGGAGTGTTCAGTAGTAACGCGCCACTAAGAATAAAACTAATTCATTTCTTTTGCCCGGAAAACATTTTATTTCTCATGTTACACACCAGATGGCAGTACTAGGATATTTTTAAGGTAATTGTAGATAGTTAGTTTATTTTAAACTAGATGTCAGCACTAATCAAATACGTGTATTTGGCAAAATAGGCACTTTTATGACCGTTTTCTTGAAAATTAACCAATAGTTAAGGGGTTAAATGAATTGAATACAGCAGAGATACTCACGTTGAATAGTTCTCGTACTTCTCGTCTCCTCATAGAGATGTTCAGTTGCTGAAGTAAAGTCAGACACTCCTCGAATGTTAAGCTGCCATTGCCATTAACATCTGCTTTTCTCACATGTTCTTTTATCCATCTAAACAATTAATATTTTCCATTTTATTCATCTAATCATAAAAAAACATATTATTATACATATACAGAATATTTGCTAAAATGAGAACTTGGGATGATTGTTATTGGATGCCTGCAAGTGACGTAGTGTCGGCATCTCGATCTTGATTGGGTTGTTGAAATGTTGCATTTCTGTGACTAGTGAAATAATGATTTTAACAATCGTACTAGTAGTTAAACTACACTAGCAACGTTGTTTTAGTAGCGGATTGGGCTTACTTTTAAAAGTTCCAGCTACAGAAAATCAAATATGGGCTACCTGCTACTTTTTGGGATATATATATTCCCTGTTTATTTATATGTTTATTGTTCTATTTCTTCTTTTTTCTTTCACGTTAAGCTGAATAAATAGTTAATCTAACTTTAATATATTAGATTTAGATAATATTTGTAGTATAACTCAATTATATTACTTGCATTGTTCAACAAAAAAGGACCATCAACACAGAATATAAATATGATTCATTAAAAAAATAAATAAACGTATTTATGTCTTATAAAACTATTGAAATTCTGCAACAAAAGAAGAGAAAGAGAAGGAAAAAAAACTATTCGTTATAGTTTTAATTTGTAATAACGAGTATCTCAGTGATCTTCCATTTAGAAAAATAAAAGATTATTTCATTATCAAATCGTTAGTCATTTTTTTTTTTAAAAATCCGTTTTCGTTTTTTTTTCTTTTTTAAAAAAATGTCACCTTTTTTTTGTTGAAAAAAAAGTGTGAATGGCGGAGTGAAAAAAAATGTCACCTTTCTTCTTCGTGCTGTGATTCCAGATGTTTACAACAAGCAATGAGTTGCCGCAGGCCTCTAACCCATGCATCTCGAGCATGGGTGTTTGGGGCAATTAAGTCTAAAACCATATGAGATGGACCAATTATTAAGGAAAAACAATTCTCCTCCTTCAATATTGATAAAAGCTGAGGGTGTAGCCTTGCCTAGAATTAAAAAGAAATCATTTCAGAATAGTAAATACAGTGCCCAAAATCGACATCCAAAAAACATTTTTTTTTTATTTATTTCCAATGCCCACCTCTCTTAACATTTCGACAATTCAGACAATTGCAATTGGTCAGGACAGATTTGTTGGCCACTCTTTCAGGGTCACCATATTAGATGTTCAAACGTTGCTCCCACAGTAAGGACAGATAGTACGGAGAATGAAAGAACATCCATGCCTTGTCCGGGATTCGAACCCTGAACCTTTCTAATATAAGGCCAGTTTCCTGACCCCTTCATAGTCCGGTCGGCCCAAAAAACGAATTCGAAGTGACAATTTGTTGTGAGAGCAAATTTTTGTTTTTTAGGGGAAATGCTTGTTAGTCCAGTAATTATAACAATAAAAAGAAGGTTTTTATTTAAAAAATTTACATCAAAAGTATTTTATTGACAGAAAATTTAGATATGTCCATAACTGTAAATTTCTCCCTTTTTTTGAAGAGGAGAATTGAATTTCATCTAATATTGTTTTCGACTAATTTGGTCCCGCAGTGGATTGATCGTAAAGACACGGTTCCCAATAGAACACCGAAGTTAAACATCACTGGCTGAGGTCAGTAAGCGGGTGGGTGATCACTTTGATCAGCCGTAGGAACCGATGATCCTCGTTAAACTGCTCTACCGAAAAGTGCTCCACTTTGCTCGCAAGTCGTCGGGCTACCAAAGCAGGGGAGCCATCCCCTCTGCAGACGATCAAAATTGCGAAGGCATGCCTTCGGATCATCCTCAGGGATGTTTCCCAGACCGTCGCCAATAGCCCATTGTGCAGCTCTAGTGCGACTTAAATAAAGTACCTACTTTCCTATTACTCATTTGTTTTTACTATGAAATCAATTACGAGATGATCAGACTATAGCTTAGAAGTAATACAGGTGTTTAATTTGCAATTTGCAAAGCAATTTGCTTTAGGATACAAAGATATGAAAATCAGAACGCATTTCAAAAAATTGAAATAATTGCTTGAACATTTATGAGTATTTAATTTAAATATCTAGTAAAATTTTTCAATTTTCAAAATTAGACTTATTTTTGAAAGGGAATCTAGTTATACACAGTTTAATATTTTCTCTTTTCTCCATAATTAGGTTGTTTATTCTCTTATAATTGCCTGATATTATTAGAGAGTGATTTTAGCTGTATGTTTATAAGCTTTTACGCATTATTTTGGAAACATTTGGTCCGTAATAATAATAGTAATGGTTTGAGAAAATTCAAATAAACTATTTTCCTAAAAAAAAAGAAAATTTCTAAACAGATATCGGGTTTTTCCAAAAAATTTTTCTCTAAAATTAAAACAGTAGTTTTTTTCAATTTTATGATAAAGAATTTCGCTCTGCTACTCGAACGTTGTTATTACGCAGACAATGAATCTGTTAATTAGTAACTATTTTTATTCCAAAGTGCACCATTGTATGAATTCTCACTGACCAATTTCGCCAGTGGTGGTTTTTAGATGTGTTTTCTTTCGTTTTATACAATATCCAGAAGTTCTTGGGTACTGACAGTCATTTAACTTTTTCTTCCTTGCAAAATATATGCTTACAACATAAACTTTTGAAAAAAGCCAAAACCTAAACAGACAGCCATAAAATGAATTGCATTCTAAACATTTGACAATGACTATATTTGTGAAAATAATGAATCAATTCACAGCGATTTTTTTTCTTCGTCTCTGAAATCCGCTTCTGAAGTTAGTAAATGATGTGGGAAAAAAGACAGATTTCATACTTTGGAAGAAAATAATTAGGAATTATTTCTTTTGTAAGCTTGAAATACGTGTGACACGAACTCAAAGAGAAGGATTTTCTGAATGAAAACGTATTTCTAGGGGAATTTCTGATAGTGACGTCGAACATAGATCAAAGCCACAAACCTAAATGTGAGTCTGCCGTTCAACGACGTAAAATAAAATGTGTGTAGGTGCATGAAAAATGTCGACTATTGATTGGACTGTTTAATCGTTAATCATAAGAGACATCTCTATAGGAAAAGTCATTTCCATCTTTTTTTTTCTTCCATTGTTTATTATTTTTGACATTAACTCAAGCAAGAGAATATTAAATAATGATCTCAAGAGAAAAAGATAATTTTCGATTCAACAGTAGAAAAATAGACATTACTAAAAAGCAAAGAAAAAATTGGGAAAGAAAGAAAAACATTTAATATTGCAATAATTTTTGAACCAAATATATTGAAATATCGAGAAAAAAAAACCTCGCATTAAGCTCACAAATGAAACTGGTCCTTTCAATGCGCCTACAAATGCGAGCAGCCCGCACGGGATTTTTTTTTAACTACAAATTTAGCAATTAATAATTCCCAAACAAATGATCGAAAGTTAGATGCATTTTTTTATTCCATCATACCACTTCCGACTGATTTTTACGATTAAGTTTGAAAAATGCACCATCCAATATTATACTTGTAATGTTTCCAATATAACTCGTTTTCTTTATCTAACTTTCAACGAAACAGGCAACAAATGAAATCGGTAAACTTCGTAAGCTTGCTATGATGCTATCCGAACATTAACAAACGGCGCTATTTTACACAAATATAGCCAAATCAAGGATAACACTCAAAAGATGGCTAACCTTACACTGATATTAATTTTGGTAAATTTGTATTGGGTTCACGATCTGCTAGAATTCATAAATTACAAAAAACTCTGATGAATGGTAAAATTTTTACGCGTAAATTTAAACACAAACCACAATAATGAAGCTTCCTAGAATATTAAACCTGTTCACGCATCGCCTCGTAAGCGTAACATAAGCGGAGGGATACACCGGAAGCTTTCTAAATCTCTTCCGGTTTTAAGAAGCTTTGTTATTGTTTACATTCAGTCAACCATCCATAGTTTAATAAAAATAAATTTGTATGAAAAAATAATGAAGCAGTCGCAAGCTTTGTAAACTTGTGTAACTTTTCACTCCAACATGTCAGTGTATATAACGGTTATATGTTTGTGGTACACAATGAATTAAGAATGGAAAATTCAAGATGAAATCGAACAAAATGAAAAGAAAAAAATATATAAGGTAGAATAACAAAAAAAAATTATTATGCACATCCCCAAGTAGCAGACTAACAGACGTTTTTATCTAAATTCCATCTTTTTAAAGCTAAAATAACATGGAGAATGTAGTGAGAATTCCCCCCTTTCTCTTAAAAGGAAGATTAAAAAAAAATAAATAAATAGTTCTCAAATATGAAATTTAATAACTGAATTCGTGATTTAACTATATGAAGCAGAACAAAAAAATGAGTTGAAATTTTTAAAAAAGAATTTTTGTTAAAGAATATAGGCTGCATTACTTAAGAAGAATTGGTATTTAATGGGCTTGGCTTACTCGAAATAGAATGGAAAGAACAGCTGCTAACGTAAGCAAATGCCCCGTTTCGACAACCAATCAGGATCGAGATACCCAAATTATGTCACTAGCAGATATCCCATTATCCTCTAAGGCACCTCCCCCTAAGTGCCAGAGTTAAGACGGATTTAGCCAATTCAGATCTCTTTTCTCTGTACCGCGTCTTCTTAAGAGGACACCATACCGCGAGAGAAACTTTTCCTCGCAAATTCTATTTCACCACCATAACTAATTTAAAATTTAAAGTATAGAAAAAGTGAGTTCATGCAAAACTAGTGAAAACTATGAAATTTCAAATCCTGAAAATAAAATTAGAATGCAAACAAGTGTAGACGTATACTCTCGATAACTCGAAATTCCATGTCTCGAAAATCTGGATATGTCAAAAAAATATTTTTCCCCTTGGCATTACATAACCACATAATGTTTTGAGTTTCTTCTCAAAACCTTGTTATATCGAATATTTTTTCGAAATAGAAAATGAATTTTTTTCGGAAAAATCACATTGTAAGTTTATTGTAAGCCAATTTTTTTCTATTTAATGCATATTTGTTTTTGTCTTACTTTTAACAATTATCACTGCTTGTATTTAGACTTACAGTCAACTATCATTAAATACATTATTAGTAGTAATTATTCTTATGTTTCATGACTCGAACATTTAGAGTACGATTTTAGAACATATTTTTCTACTTTTAGAACATATTTAGCTCTGAACTTGTTATCTCGAAAAGTCGCTATCTTGGATTTTTTAGCATATTCGAGATAGCGAGAGATTACTGTATTTGGAAGAGAACTTCCCTATTGCGTAATCTTGAGTTCATACTTTGATTTCATACTTTCATACTTTGCTTGAGTTCAAACTTTTCATACTTTGATTTCGATAGTTTGAAAATTTATTTTCGGTATTTGAAACGCCTCTAGGTCTGTCCGTACTCGGTACTATGAAATTTAAACTATTTATAGAAATGAAAGAGCGATAAAAAGCTTCTTGGAAGTCCTCTAAGAAGGCTATCCCCGAAGTCACCCCTTTTTTTAATGGTTAGAGAAATATTACCTGAAGTTTTCTTCTAAATTTTGCTTCTAGGACATTGAATACATCGGAATGCCAACCTTTTCGAACTTCTTCTAAATTGAATATATCCACTAGAAAATAACAGGATTTTACAATGTACTATAATTTCATATCAAATATCAATTACAATTTTTGATCAGATAATATTTTAATTGCGAAGCCCTTTTTTTTTAAATGAATTTCTTTTTCGTTTTCATATGAATTTAAATATGAAATCTGTTTATTGCTACTTTGAAATTTCATGCCAAGCGATTTGATTTAAACGATTTGAAAAAGAATTTTCCTTTTTTTTTTCTTTTTGGCGTTACTCATTTTTTGGTTCGTAAAATAAATTTCGCAATCTTGCTTGTTCCATTTCTTTGAGAATTAATGTAAATAAAACTGTAAATAAACTGAAGAAAACTTTAGAAGAAAACTGAAGTTTTCTTCTAAATTTTGCTTCTAGGACATTGAATACATCGGAATGCCAACCTTTTCGAACTTCTTCTCAATTGAATATATCCACTAGAAAATAACAGGATTTTACAATGTACTGTAATTTCATATCAAATGTCAATAACAATTTTTGATCAGAGAATATTTTAATTGCGAAGCCTCATTTTTTTATTAATTTTAATTTTTTTCTCCTTCATACGAATTTTAATATGAAGTCTTTTTATTGCTACTTTGAAATTTAATGCCAAACGATTTGATTTAAATACGTCATCAGTGTGTATGATAAATTTTTGTCTAAAATAATAACATGAAGGAAGGACTGAGAAGGAAAAGAATAAATTTTCTTTTTTGCACACTGGCAAAATGGGTGTTGTTTTGAGTTTGATGGCATGCGCACCTTATTTGGACGTCATCACACTTTTCAACTGTGCTCAAGAGTAATAGTAAACAGTGTGCATGCGTCGTCATTTCTATGGAGACCGCTGATGTTTGATAATGTTTTTAGAATTTTTTTTTTTCACTTTTAATTTTGTTATGTATTAAGTTGGTGAGTTTATTTTTGAGATATGGGACCAGAGAGATCTCATTAATACTTATTAAGTATTGAATAAAAAGGAATTTCATCATTTGAACGATATTTTTGCTTTTATTGTTTTAATTAAAAATCAGAAATTCTAATCTACAGTTCTAATAGGATCGTTTTCAATACTAATTCAGGTGAATATCACAAATAAAAAGGATAATTTTTTTTTTAATTAGACAACAACCATTTTGCCAATGGATCACCTGTGATCGCCTTTCACAATTTCCTTTTCTTTTTGGCGTTACTCATTTTTTGGCTCGTAAAATAAATTCCGTAGTCTTGCTTGTTGTATTTCTTTAAGAATTAATTTAAATAAAAAAGACAACGTAACAAACTTATATTACTCCCGAAAATTCACCTCTGTGTCTTTTGAAAGAAGTGCGCATTACGTTTTTCGCTTTTGGTATGACGTTAATAAAATTAATTTCGCTCTTATAATCTACTTGAAAGTCGTAGTTTTCCATATTTTCTTAGTTTTAGTTTCTTAAGTTAGATTCTTAGTTTAGACGTTCAAGACATTAATTTCTCTTTTATAATCTACTTGAAAATCATAGTTTTCTTTATTTTCATAGTTTTAGTTTCATAAGTTAGTTTCTTAGTTTAAACGTTCATAAAATTAATTTTTCTCTTATATTCTACTTGAAAATCGTAGTTTTCTTAGTTTTAGCTTCATAAGTTAGTTTCTTAGCTTAGACGTTCATAAAATTAGCTTCTTAATTTAGACGTTCATAAAATTAATTTCTCTCTTATAATCTACTTCAAAATCTAAATTTCTTTATTTTCTTATTAACTGGTCTAGATCTTAATGTTGCTCGAATATATCCATCTCTAATTTCCGTCTTACTTAATTTCTTTGTGATATTTCACTTTTCAGTTGTTAACTTCATCATTAAAAAATAGGACAAAATAGATCATCGAGCAAAAGATTGAGTTCATTCGATCGATTCAAAAAGAAAAAATTAATAAATAAATAAATAAATAATCGTGTCATTCGATCGTGATCGAAAATTTCGATGGCACAAGTTGGAGTCAGGGTAAAAAAGACCTCAATAACTCATTCTGTCCATTTTAAAGATTTATTTTATTGATTAAAATCAATGACTTAATCTTTGATTATCATTGTGAAATGAATTAAAATGAAATCGTTTTTTTTCTTCTCATTAATCAGAATCAATAAATGTTTACTCAAATAAATGGAAGAATTACATTTAACTGTTTCAATCTGCAGTGTGAATGATTGCATTCCATTGAAGTCTAGTGGAATGACATTCTTTAGCTCGAGTGGAATCAGTAATGATGATATCAAATCAAATCTCTTCTTTAATTCCCAAAATCGTCAATAGTCGTAATTCCGCCTTTTATACCCGTCGTTGAGCAGTCGACCCAATTTTCGGGTTTATGACTACTAATGTTCAACTCCGTAACCTTGTAATTTTGAACCCAATCCAGAAGACAAGGGAACTCCTGGATCATGTATTGGGAGAAATTTGCCTTCATGGAGGATTTGTTTGATGAAACTAACCCGCATTTGCGTTACATGTAGAGGAAGATCATGAGAATCTCCCACTGTTAGCCTGACGGTAAAGGGACTCTAACCCGTGATTCGTCTACCACTGAGGATATTTCTCGTCAGCACTGTGATCGGTGCAATCAGGATGCAGATTTATATCGACCAGCCATCGCTGGGATTCGAACCCGGGTCACCTCATTGTAGGGCGAACGCTCTATCTCCTGAGCCATTGCTGCTCCGTAATTCCCTCTTATCATATCGATAGATAAACAGCCATATTAGTCTTTTCTTAAGAACAAACAAATAGGTATGATTGATATAATGATAAAACTCACCCGCACTCGTGCTCAGTTGTGAGAAAGATCCGCACTTGCATACTGTATTTGCAAAAAGAAAATTATGGTTAGTTTATGTACTTATCTTCATCACATCATTCTATTTACAAATATCAGGAATTCATTTTTTAAATTCTATTGGATCCAATGCAATCCATAGGAAGTTCACCAACAGCTTAAATGTTATAAAATATTTGTATATAAAAAATATGAACTTTTTTTGCACTAACCTGCTTAAAAACTTTCATAAATTTTAAGATTCGGTATTTGACTCGAATGTTTTTTTTCTCTGTGTGTTGGATATATAATGCATAAATGATATGTTACCATATATGGCAGTACTTTTACTTTCGTTACTTGTACCGCCGGAACAAGTAAAAAGTACGTACTTTTACTTGTACTTCGTTACTTTTTAAATTTAGTACTTTTACTTGTACTTTCGTTACTTTTTTAGGGAAAAAGTACAAGTATTTGTAACGGAAATGTCGAATGAAATCGTTACTTTTTTCTAAAACTCGGTAAGC